TGTATGTCATAGTTGCACATCCTTCTAGTTGCTGTATGTGGGACGCGGCCTCAGCATGGCCGGAGAAGCGGTGCGACAGTGCGCGCCCGGGATCCGAACCCGGGCCGCAGGCAGCGGAGCGCATGCACTTAACCGCTAAGCCACGGGGCTGCCCCTATTATTCTTAATTTAAAATAAAATTATCAATATGATACACATATATCAATGACACATACACACATAAAAGCAAACCTCCCACTTTAAAAAGTTATTCATTTGCAATTTTTTATTTCATCAGAATGATTTGGGGCACTTGAATAATAGCCCAAAATGTGAAAATTTAAGTGCTCTTTAAATAATATTACACAGCAAATATTGAAGAAATCTAAAATATTATGACTTAAGGAGACAGGGTAATGTAATGGAAGGACAGAGTGGGAAGCTGGAGGACCTGAATCATGGTCCTGGTTTTGCCACTGTCTCCTGGTCTTAATTTTAGATGAGTCACTTAACTTCTCCAGGCCTCAGTTTCTCTATTTATAAAGTGTTAGACTAGTGATCTCCTTGGTCTGTTCCACCTCCAAAACTGTCTTAAAATTCATAATTTTTATAGGGTGTGGTTTTTTTTCATTCAACATTCTGCTCCTCCTGCTGTAATCCCTATCTTGTACTCCCAGGCAAGAGCCACAGAAGTCCCACCAGCGACCCTCTAGCTACCCTTCCAGCCTCTTCTTTGACGATTCCTTGTCATTTTTCATCTATTTCAGGCACAATGAGCTACTGTTCATTGTCCCTCAATATCTGAGTTTCCCTCTCCTCTGTGCCTTTTACCTGGATAACGCACACACTCACACTCAAAGAAACCCTGCTCATCTTCCAGGATAAAGCCAGCTCTAGTGTCATCTCCTCAATGGGACCCTGCTCCACCTTTCTGCTGAGCCTATCCTCTCCATTTCTTCCTGGCACAGGGGCACACCTGCATCACAGCATCTGACATGTCACATGTGACCACCCATCTGTTTCTCTCCAGCCCCCAAAAGTGTCTTTCTCCAGGATGGAGACTGCCTTCTTCAAGCTTTGTCTGACACATTACCAGTGCTCAAAAATGCACCTGAATGAATGAATCATCAGGGAAATAATCAGAGTAATTTGTCAAGAATCAATGGCTAAAATAATTCAATCATTTTAGTATTTTGACGTGAATTAATTTAACCTGCTTCATCAGGGTTACTGGGGCCCCCAAAAAAGTTTAACTTGAACTATTGTGTCTGGGTAATTGCTTTTGTTCCCAATGTTGCTCTACTGGCCACAGCAAGTAAATGCCTATTCAAATAATAATAGTTAAGACTATATAGTTCTTACTATGTGCCAGCACTATTATAAGTCAAATATATATATGACACACACACACACTCATTTACTTGTCATGACAACCCCAGGAGGTGGTATAATTTTTACCCATATTTGACACATGGGGAAACTGAGGTATAGAAAGGTTACATCACTTGCCACAGGTACACAGCAAGTGTTGGAACCAGGATTCAAATCACACAATCTGGCTTCAGAGTCCACACTCTTACACACAAATGGCTTTTCTGATATCTGGAAAATCTAAGCAACATATGAAAACATACTTAGTTTTATCTAAAGTAAGTAAGGGAGAGATGTGGCATGTGAAGGCCTATGCTCTAAGTTACTTGATATACTGTTAATTCTCTAATGAAGACTTAAATTTTTGGTATGCTATAGACCTGACAAGGGCTACTCTGAAGCCCCCAGTACAAAGCCCATCTGATGCCAGTTACAGAAAAGCTATACCAACTCTCAGCTAGAATCTTACCTATAGTAAACATCCCCCTAAGAAGTATCATATGAAGGTGAAGACTAGTTGGAATAATCAACCCAATTGCAAAAAAAATATTTGCTACATGAAAAACTAGATGATGTATCTCTCTCCAGTTTTCACAAGTGGTCTCATTGGAAGGCACAGGTATGATGCTCTCTAACTCAGGTGTAAAAGCTATTGCAGTTGATTCTGCCAATGGGCTGGACTCAGTATAATTCATCTCGAAAATTCCTATAAAAACAAATAAATGAAAAGACAGTCATAAAAATGGCAGCTGTATCTTATCACCCCTATAGGTGTTATACCAAAATTATTTCTGTAAACTAAATGTTGGTAAACAGACTTCTCTGGTGATTACCCATTAAGCAGACCCACGTTCAAATCCCAGCTCTGTCACCTATTAAATGTATCCATTTCCTTATCTATTATATGATGATAATAACATCTCATTTGACTTTATGATTAAATGAAATGAAATACATAAAATACTTAGCATTATAGTGTACAACTATTCCCTGACATATATATATATATATATGTATCTGAGTATCTGTATATATCTCTATATATCTGTATATAAACATACATGGTGGGAGAGAGAGGAATGAGGGAATTAACTAGTCTAAAAGACAATCACCGGTGTTGATAAACCTAGCAATTACAAAGTTATTTAGTATAGCCTTCCATCAAATTCCCACTAGTGACACTGAATTCAAACACAAGAAAAATAACTGGAAAAATTGATTTTTTGAATACTTTCAGAAAGTATTTTTGAAAATATTTACTATTTGAAATATTTACTATTTGAAGCCTTAGGATATTTGGAAGGCTCTAAATTTATACTGTCGTTAAATCATTACGACATACATATATTCATTCTACATTATATATGCACATAATAAATACATTACTATAATCATTTATATGTACACAGAGAGATATAACATTTACTCCTTCTTTTACTGTGTAATTTAAATCTCTACTTTCTTTCCTATAAAAATTCTAGTTGGTAACATCTCACAAATTGAAAAGTAGTAAACTTCCAGCTTTCTTATATATATATATATAGAAAGGGTCATGAATATACAATCAACTATTTAATATTAAAATCTGTAGCAAATACATTTCAAAGAATATACATTTTACACATGCTTACATAAACCTTAACACAAAGTGGCACTATTTCCTGACTATATTACCTGTCCTTGGTCTGGTATTTATAAAACTCTATTATTAGTCATACAAATTGGCCCCAATAAAAACTATGTACATTTATAGAATATGTGAATTGTTTTGTTTCAGGGAAAGAATTCCAAATGGGGACCCAAAATGCCTTTAAATTTAATTTATAAATATGAATTTCTTTCCAAATAAGGTCATGCAATAAGCTATACTTTTCCATTTTTTTCATCATACTAAAGTAAAGGTTTTAGGTGGTAGAATAACTGGTAAGGTTGGACATTTTGAAAGGACATTAATAGATAAATGTGAAAGAATTCCACATCTCTTAAGATGATAAACATACACACAAATTTACAAACTGTGAATGAAATAATCGAGTCAAAGATCTCTTCCCATCATTCTGAAATAGCTCATAAATATGAGAAATAGTTGACTTAGCTATTGATTTGCTGCAGAAAGGAATCATAAAAAGTCAACTACTTTCCAAATGTTTGAATCAATAAAAATATAAGCCTACTGGGACGGGAGATATCATTATTTTAATAAATCTATTTATCCAAAAGTTGGTTTTCAAGGACCAAATCAGAATTGATCTCATAATTTCTGCAGGAGGGAGAATGATATTAAATGTCCTCTATCACTCATAAGTTAATGTCACCATACCATTTCCATGGCACTTTAGAACAAGCTTTCACTCCCATTGTCCTATTTGTTCTTCTAACTATCCTATGTTCTCTATGAGGCAGGGACAACGTCATATTTATCTTTGTATATCCAAGGCCTAGCCTCTATAGAGAATGCCAGAGGCAGAGGTGAAAGCCACATGGAAGGTACACAGACATGACGAACACTTTCAGAAATCACTTTTTGGTCTCCCCAAACCCCAGCAGCAAAGACAGGAGAGGGCCTTGCCTTCCTGAGATTGAGCGAGTCAGGTTCTACACCACAAGCCCCGGGCAGCCACATAAGCCAGGCAAAGTCACTTCTGCTCCTTGGGTCCGCTTCTTCCTGGGAATAGGGACAACTGGACTAGATGGTCTTTGAAACTCCTTCAAGTTTTAATAGCTTGTGGCTCTAATACACATTTGTACAGTAAGTTAATTAATAAATTCCCCCTCACAGCCACCCGATTACACCTGTATTGCCAACTAATCCACTGTAGTTCAGTTTCAGGCTTTTAAAAGTTCTTAAATCGCACTAAAAATACCAATTTCTGGTCAAGAGAACTGATAGGAAAACTATGATCTATTGACCCAAGAACCAGGGAAATAGTAATATGAAGTTTTAAAAGGTAGGATAATCCTCAACATATTTTGATGCACCACATCTAAATATATATATATATATATATATATATATATACAGTCTACACATTTATTTAATTTTCTACATGTATTATATATTGTATAATAATTAACATCATATATTTATTATACATAATTTATTGTCTATTATTTAGCTATATGTCTATTTTAAAATGCCAGTTACCTATTGTCAATAAATATCGATCAGATCTTGACAGTTTCAGCTTCCTTTGATCACTACTAAAGGGATTTACGTGGCTTACACCGAACTAATCTTTATACACAGAATGAATGGGTCTAATGAGGAAGGTTGGACTGGTAAATTGGTAAAGGTTCAGATTAATTTTAACTAAATCAAGAGAAATTTTCTTTCTCCTATTAGTTCCTTGGAGTCTAATTCCTGAAATTACCTGTTCTAGTAAACTCCTGTTTATCTATTGGTTTTCAAATAGTGTATGCAGGGCTAAATGGTGAAACTAACATTAACCCTTCACCAAACTACAAAAATGAAAAAGATAGCAGTGAGCAAAAGTCGTGCTGGTAGACTTACTCAATTCATTCTGTAATTCTAACGGAACCTTCGCACATCGTCGGAATGGCAAAGGGCATTACGTTGCTAACAGTCTTTTCGCACCTATTCTTGCTTCAAAGCAAGCAGTTTCTGGGACTCGTCTGGCCAACAACCCGTTTCCCAAAGCCTCGTAAACGGGGCGCGGGTGGGTGGCGAGGAGCACCGGTTCCCCAGCCATCTGCGCTCCCCAGGGGCCCTGCTTACCTTGCTCCTTAAAGAAAGAGGGTCAGTGTCAACTGTTCTCCTTGACCCGGAGCTCTCGGTTCATGAGGAGCGTGCGGCGAGCGCCGTGCCCCACCTCGAACGCCCAGCGCCCGGCAGAGGTGGGCGACACGGTGCGCCCGGCTGCGCGCTGCCTCCGCGTAGGACCCGGCGGCCCTACAGGGGCAGGGGGAGCCCTAGTGGGCTCAGGGTCCAGGAGCTCACCAAGCGGGGAGGGGAGAAGCCGAGCTCACCCAGGGCTTGCTCGGGGCACAGCGCGGGAACGGGCACCCGATGGGGCCCGAGCGCCCGGGGACGCTGGCGCTGCCCGACCCGAGTCGCGGCCGCTGACACCTGAGGGTCTGTGGCCGCGGCGCTCAGACCCAGGGTGAAGAGCGGCTTCCAAGGACAGGGAACCCCGCGAAGGCGCGGCCGGCGGGAGAGGGCGGGGCTCCCCGCGGCCGAGGCACGGGGACCGGGCAGCCTCCGCCGGGGTCGGCGAAGTTGCTCCCAGCGGAGGAGGGCTCCAACTTTCGCTTCTAGATTTAGCCCCGGAAGCTCGAGGCTGCAAATAGCCGGGCGCGCGGGGGGAGTCGGCGGCAGCTGCGCCCCCCGCTCCTTACCTGGCTTGTCCCTGGCACGGAGCCTGGGCGGCGCCGGCCAAAGTTTGGGGCGGCAGCAGCGGGGCGCGGGGGACACGGCGACCCGACGGGCGCCCGACGCGAAAGCCTCGGCCGATCGGCGGGTCGGAAGGCTCCTCCGCCCACGCCGGGTCCCCGCGCCGGCAGCGGCTTTGACTAAAATAGTCATCGCGGCGGCGGCACGGGGCTGGGGCCGCACCGCGCACGCGCCCGCCGCCCCGGCGCCCCCCGGCGGGCGGAGCCCCGGGCTCGGCCAGGACTCCAGCCGCGCTCCTCCGACTCCACCGCCGCGTCTGCACTGCACAGCCGCGATCAGTTTGAAACACCCGCTTCTTTCTTTCCTCGTTTCCTCTTTACTTCTCGATTCTGTCCTTGTTTGGACATGAGTAGGGGGCGGGCAACATCCTGCGACCAGCGGCGTTGGTTGCTCATCCCCGTGGGGATAACTCGAGCAGTAGGGTGCCCGCAGGGAGAGAAATCAGGATAAGAAATGAGAACTAGACTCTTCATTCCCCCTCAAAGTCGAGCAACGCACTCGTGTAACTCCTTTCTGGGACGGTTGCCCGCATCTCAGAACAAGCAGGAAGGGCCGGGAAGAGCGCGTCTGAGGCTGGCGGTTTGGTCCACACGGACGCAGGACGTCGCCCTCGGGGACCCGGCGAGGGGCCAGGGCAAGCCAGCCCTGCCGCTGCGGGGGGCCAGGCGGGAGAGACTTCCACAGGAGCCACTGTTTTGTTGTCAAGGAAGGAGAGTACTTATCCGAAATTTGCCTTCCCATGGTGGTGCGGGGCCCTCCATTGTAGGCGAAGCTCCACCCGAATTTGCCGCGTGAATTTGGCTGATTTGGGACCGTAATTGGAAAACAAGATATGAAACTATGCTCCAATCAATCCTTACTGTTTACAGAGAACACCTATTTAGGGTAAGAAATGCAGGGCAAATTAAGAAAGAGTTGGCATGGGAGGAGGGGTTGCAGGACAAAAGAGGAAGGTTAGATGGGCATTTACAGTTTCCACCCGAAGTGTCCCATTGTGAGATGGAATTTGTGCTGGTTATTAGAGTATGAGGTCGTTCATGCTTGCCAAACATCATCTAAATATAAAAAATATCGCAGGTACATTATAAAGTAGTGCCTGGAAGGGCACACTCGCCAAGTTCCTGCAGTGGAGAGGCGGTGCAGCATAGTATTCACGAACATGGGCCGTACTGCGGGACAGACAGGTTTGAATCCCACCTCTGCTACCCGCTAGCTGTGCGACCTTGGGGAAGTTACTTAGCTTTTCTGTGCCTCAGTTTCCTCTTTTGTACCGTGGGAATGATGATGATGATGATTGCACTTGTACCTCATAGGACTGTTTTGAGGACAAAATGGTTTAATACATATAAAGCCTTAGAATGGTACGTGGTACAGAGTAAGTTCTATGTACGTGAATATATATTATAAAGCTCCTTCTCAAACATGTTTGAAATTTGCTATAACTATACAAAATTAGTTTTCAAGGCTACTTCTTCAGTCTGTTTCTTTCTAGAGGCTCTGCCAGCCATTTTGGTAGCTACCCCTATATGGATATTCATTGGAGGGTGGCTTATAATAATGAACACTGGACATAACCTGAATTCTTACCATAGGGGACTAAGTAAATTGCAGGACATGCAAACAATCTTGTTCTAAGCAGCCATTAAAAATAATTTATAGAAAGATATTAGAGACATAATAATGTCTACAAATTGTATAGAAGAGAGGTGGGCAAACTGTGGCCCAAGGCCCAGCCCACCGCCCATTTTTGTGCAGCCTGTGAGCTAAAATGGTTTTTACATTTTTTAATGGTTGAAAAAATCAAAAGAATAATATTTCATGACATGTGAGAGTTATATGAAAATCAAATTCAGTGGCCATAAAGTTTAATTGGAACCCAGCCATGCTCATTCATTTATGGCTGCTTTTGTGCTACAAAGGCAGCATTGAGGAGTCGCAACAGAAACCATAGGACTCTGCAAAGCCTAAAATATTTACTATCTGGTTCTTTCCTGAAAAAGTTTACTGACTCGACATATAGAGTGTAATTTGTGTCAGGCACTGTTATAAGTGGTTTAGATATATCAAGCCATTGAATCCTCGCAATGGACCCTGTGAAGAAGTAGTTACTATTATTATCGCCATTTATAGATGGGAAACCGAGATCACACAGCTAGTGAGAAGCTGAGCCAAGGTATGAACCAGGCAGTCTAGTTCTGAAGCTTGCCTTCTCGTCCGCTAGCTACAGTTTCTGCCATCTTCTGTCTCTAGCTGTACTGCCTCCCATGGTAAGATGTTAAATAGAAAAAGGCAGGGAACAAGAGTGTCTAGACTATTACAAATCATCCATGATGATAAGCACTAAAATGCTTACATCATTACCTCGGAGTGGTAAAGTTGTAAGTGATTTTTCTTTTTTTCCTCCTCTCCCTCCCTCGCTTCTTTCCTTCCTCTGCCCCTCTTCTTCTTCCAACACCTCCTGCCCCTCCTCCTGCTGCTTCTGCTAAATTTTCTACAATAATTATATGTTACTTTTATAATAAATTAAAAACAGATTTGTTGAAATGGTACAGCCCAGGTTCTGGCTTTTGCAGCGTGGAAAGCCAGACTCCAGAGGTATGGTTATGGAGTCAGCTGTTACAGGGCGCGCTCACTCCTTACCTAGCAGGATAAGAGGCCTGTAAGTGTTTAGATCATATCAAGATGGCATTCTCTTATGAAAAGAGTATTGGGTTCAACATTGTAAAACTTGAGTCGTGGCCTTTGATAGAGTGTATATTTTCTCTGAGTCTGTGTTCCACAGAAAGAGGAGACTGAACTAAACCTAAACCCCTCACTGTAATCCATCTAAGGATTAAAAGCATAATTTTATATTATATGATATATGAATTCTAGCTCTATGAAATACAAAATAAGAATTTTAGACACAAAAACTCGGGTTTGGGAATGCCTTAGGCTCCCTAGTCTCCTCTTGCTGGTCATGGAAAGGTCAGATTGGAAGATTCTGCACTATTTGAAAACTAATATGATGCAAGGAGGTAACTTACACAGAAGTATAGAATGAAAAGGATATGAAGCATAAATAGCAAAATATAGGGCAGCCTGTCTCCTCTGCAAAAACTCTGGCTAGTAAAGCTTAGATTGACATAAACAATTATTTCTGCCTTTATTTCTCTATGGGCGTTCTAGTCTACTTTTACTATTTGGACAAAGCCTTGATGAGATTTCCAAGTTCAGATTGAATAAGTTTTGTGAAAATAAAACAAGACCTGAGGGAGATTTAAAAGTACATTTGTAATGTTTAAGTAGCATTATCTTCCTTATCTACATCTGCCCACGGGTTATATCAGTGTAGACTTGCTTTCAACTGTTACTCCTAATTGCATTGAGACCATAGCAGACAGGTCTCATGAAACATGGATTATTAAACAATGATTTAATTAGATTCTTTCTGTACCTAAGTTCCTCTCGTTAAATGTTACATTAACTTTTTCATTGACCAGTATGACAACCAACCTCCTTGACTGTTATTAAATTTCTTTTCCTTTTTAAAAAAAATTAGTAGACTTTGTTTTGTTAGAGAAGTTTTAGGTTTACAGATGATTGAACAGATAATATAGAAAGTTCCCCTGCTCACAGGGGAGAAAGAGGGTATACAGGAACTTTCTGCAAGATGTCCTCTATTATTAATATCTTGCATAAGTGTGATACAATTGTCACAATTGGAGAACAAATAATGATACGCTATTATTAACAAAAATTTACATTAGAGTTGATCTTTGTGCGGTGCAGGCCTATGGGTTTTGCCTAATGTATAATGTCGTGAATCCACCTGTGACATAATAAGAAATGTATATTTCATCTCTTCTCCCGGTTCGTGACACAGAGCTCCTAAAATCCTTGTAATTTCCTGAGTGACAGGGGTGCTGGGAACATTTTTTTGTTCTAATATTTAATCTTTGACCCCCAATTCAGACACAGTGATCCTAAAACCTTTGTAATTTCCTGAGTGATGGGGATGATCGGAGCATATTACACAGAGCTCCTGAATTCCTTGGAATTTCCTGAGTGATAGGAGGGAGCATCTTTTGTTCTAATGAGATGACTCTGGATGGGCTCCTGAATAGCTTCAGGATGGGGCCTGGTCACCGGAAAGACCAAGCCATGATTAAGAAGCTTGGAACTTTCAGCCCCACCCTCCATCCTCTGGGGAGGGGAGAGATGCTGGCGACTGAGTTAATAACTGATCATGCATATGTGATGAAGCCTCCTCAAAAATCTCTAAACTAAGGGGTTTGCAGAGCTTCTGGGTTGGTGTCTGGGTTGGTGAACACATCCCCATGGTGGGAGGGTGGCACATCCCAACTCCACAGGGGCAGAAGCTCCTGGACTCAGGAACCTTTTGGACCTTGCCCTATGTACCTCTTCATCTGGCTGTTCATTTGTATCTTTTATTGTATCCTTATAATACACCAGTAAACGTATTTCCCTGAGTTCTGTGAGTGATTATAGCAAATTATCAAACCTGAGGGCAAGGTCATGGGAACCTCGATTTATAGCCAAGTCGGACAGAAGTGTGAACCTGCAGGCCCACCACTTGTGATTGGTATCTGAAGTGGAGGGCAGTCTTGTGGAACTGAGCCCTTAACCTGTGGAGTCGGCACTAACTTTGGGTAATAGTGTCAGAATTGAGTTGTAGGACACCCATTTGGTGTCTGGAGAGTTGGAGAATTGGTTGATATGGGAAAAACCCCCACACATTTGGTATCTGATGTGTTGTGAGTAGAGGAAACAGAGTTTTCCTTTAGTAATGTCATGTACCCACTGCTACAGTATCGGATGGAATAGTTTCACTGCCCTAAACATCCCCTGTGTTCCACCTATTCATCCCTCTCCTTCCTCCCCTCCCTAATCTCTGGCAACTGCTGATTTTTTTACTGTCTCCATAGTTTTGCCTTTTCCAAAATGTCATATAGTTGGCATCATATAGAATATTGACTTTTCAGACTGGCTTCTTTCACTAAGCAAGTTTCCTCCAGGTCTTTTTGTGTCCTGAGAGCTCATTTTTTAAATCACTGAATAATATTCCATAGTATGGATGTACGACAGTTTGTTTATCCAT